AAGAGGAAGAGGAACAAATGATAAAAAGAAGAAAGTTACAGGAGGAAAAAGGCGATGCCAGCCCAAGACCTGCTCTGTGAGAAAAGCACCACCAACCCAAGGTTTCCATCGGCAAGATGCAGTTGCACAGGCTTCCTGCCAGAATTAGGTTGGATCTAGTGTTGACGGTGATTTTACTGAGATACTGAAATGTGTATGTCATTTATGGTTTGTTAATAGTTTTTCTCTTAAATGGTGAAGAAATGGATGGCCTCATTCCACACAGGAATTGTAAACTGACTAAAACTGAAGAATGAAGAGTTAAAGATTGATTTACATTTTAGAAGTTTTTATTAATGTATCTATCAATAAAGAAGTTGGCTGTATTTAGGGACTTATGACTTCAAATGAGAATTCTTTTTATAACATCTTCACCCAACAAAATCAAAAGCTCTCTAGCTGTTTTAGGACAGGTAAATCACCTGTAGGCTTTTGTTTAAACATGCTGTCTTTGCAATCAATAGACATAGTAACTTAGGGTAATTAAACACAAACTATTAATTTGGGAATCATTTGAGCATAAAAAATGTTGCCCCTTCATGAATTGAGTCACTTAAGTGCTACCTCAGAAACTCTCCAGTAGCAGACACAGCAGTAAAAAAAATGCAGCTGGATATACACATCGCTGTACTGCCTTTTCCTAATTTAGTTTGTAAAATACATTCTGCATTATTCATATCTTGACATTTCTTTGCTATCTAAACTACTGTGTCTCCTAAGAAGCAGCAGTAAGACGCCTGATGTAAGAAATAGGGGCTCACACTCCTTAATGCATACCTTAAGAAACAACTACCAACAGCACGGCCACCTGAAATACTGTTTTTCTGTATTTTGGGGGAGGATAAAGTAACTCAAAAAAAGTTGATCTGGACATTTAGGAAGGTTGAAGGTTAGCTGCCTATCCCAAGCTATGACACTACCTTCCAGAGCATGCAGGTGACTGCACGAAGGGATGGCTGGACATGGAAACCACCTAGAAATGGGAGATGAGCAAGGCCATCATCTTAGCTGCTGGGCTGAGGGTGGCTGGTGAGGAGGGCTGGAAGCCCATCTTTCAGAGGACAGCTCTAACAGGATGCACCAGCAGCTTCCTTTACTCCCTGGCAGAGCAGGTAGGGATTGAACCCGTGGGGAACGGTCTTCTGCACGAGAGGTCAGGGGGAGGGACGTGGTTTATGTATTCAAGTGGTTTTACTTCTAGGAATAAAACTCAAGAGCTAAGGAAAAGGGACTGAAATCAGGTGCCTGCTGCTAATATATCGAATCTGCTGTTTGGCAAATGGCCCTCCATCTACAGTGCTGGCTTGTACGTAGAGCACCTATTTCCCACCTCCATCCTGCTGGGCAGAGTCTTGCTTTAAGCCTGGTGCTACAGAAACACTGCCCTGGTACAAATTCCTACCAACAGTAACACCTACAGCCTGTTTTTGGTCTTTTAAGGTAAACGTTTTGAAAGTTGCTATAGTGAGTTAAGAAGCTGTGTGGTGCTAAAAAATAATGGGTCTGGTGCTCCTGCTTCCCTCAGGTGGTGTGGAAAATTCCAGCCAGAGGGCTGCGTTTTGGCTGCAGGTATGAACTGACTGCCTTGCTCAAAGAGGAACACATCAGTGCATAGGAACACGCTTCTGACTGCTTTCCACCTTAAAAGCAGATCTAATCCGTGTGCTGTGGAGAAAGAAAATATAAACAGAGCGTTCCCAGCTGCAAGTCCCCTCCTCAGATGTCCCGCTGCTGCTGCCGCACTGGCAGAGGACCAGCCCCGCGAGCGCCCTTTGCCTGCAGGAGTCTGCAGTTAGATCCCAGCAAAACTATGGCTTCCCTCCTTCCCTGCCTGCAGCTCCTAGGAGGTCAAACTGGTATTTGACTCCTAATTGAAACAATTTTGTTTAGCATCACCTATCGTGGCCTTTGAGTTAAAAAACCCCACTGGTCAAAGCAGAACAAGCAGCTTCCCTGGAATCTATGCATTATTGCTCCTGAAACTTCTGCCATATTTAATCTGGTCACCCTTGGTTCTGTGGGACATTTGTTTTGTAGCAGAAGGGGAAAAGAGAAGAGAGGAATTGTTCTGCCTGAGGACTGCTCCGTTCTTGACCAGAAAGTACTCCCGGAGCGTAAAACCGAACTTTCCATTGTGTCCCTGTGGGATTAGCTATGTTTAGACTTCTCTGTGGGCTTGCTAGGGAAAGAGAAAGACAAGACAAATAAAGCGCTTGCCTCTTGCAGTTGCTGTGGAACGCACAAAGCCGCTTCTCTTTCCTGATTTTACGAACAAAGATAACCATTAATATTCCTTAACTAGCATCAAGAGCTAAACCCTGTTTTCCACAAAGCCAGAACTGGCAGGCATGCAGGTGCACAGTACAAGAAGTCCACTGTCCCTTACAAATGCAGGAAAAAATCCAGTTATCTTAATCCGAAATTCCTGGCAGAATAAAAAGTTTCTTCGCCATAATGCAATACTATAAATACTACTGGCTCAAAGCCAGTACACAAGAAACCTGCCTTTATTAAAAACACAGGGCTGTATCTATTCGTTCAAGTGGACTCTTGAGTTATCGTAACTTTGTTGTAGTGTGGGAAGACTCAGAAGTTTGGACAGTTTTATCCAAATTGTTTTATAGAAATCCACCTGCAATGTCTCGCATTCATACTCGGTCACAGGATTTTCAGTAACTGGTTTATCTGGAAACATTACGAAAAACTAAAACTTCTTGCAAGACACATTTCCTCACTAACTGGAAATAAAAAAAAAAAGAAAAAATACAGACTTTTCCTGAACCTCTTAAAAGATTTGGCCTGAACTTAATCGTGAAATAAACATTTAGACCTTTCCCACTTAATGTAACCTCAAAGTCTGATAAATATTACTCAAAACAATACTTTCCCTTAGCTGCAGTTTATATACACACAATAATATAACCCCTTCTCCCCATCCACTGCTTAAAAATAAGAGGAAGGAAGCTTTATGAAAGAAATCCCAACTTATTCACAAAAGCTGCCTACAACAACAAAGGCATTTAAGAGATGTAAACATTTTCGAATAATCCACAGGAAGGGAACGTAATAATTGTGATAAATAACCCGACTGCCTTAAAGCTGAGAGAGAACTTGCACCCCGAAAGGGCTCCAAGTCAGCCTGTCACTGCAAACTCCAGCTTGCTTTGGTTTGCTTCGCCTTTTACAGATCACTGTCAACTCGCAGTATTTTATATCTCGATAATGAGCAAAAAGCAGTTTTGGATTCTCCACGTGCTCATCGACGACTGCGATTTTTGGTGATGCATAACGCTGCTTCCCAGCCTTCCTTTCTTGCTCTCCCTTGCCTCTTTAAGACAGCCCCCCGGCCGTGGCAAGGGAGGACAGCGGGAGGTATTGAGTGCAAAGCCTGGTACGCTGCCAAAAGCTTAAAGTAAACAAGCTGAAACAGGAGAAGAAATCTATTAACTGCTTTCCAGTCTTGAGCTACTTAACTGCAAAATCAGTGAACGGAATAAACAATGGCAAAAGGGCTATTAAATACGTGGCAGGTTTGTTGCTAGATTAGTTATCTCAAGATCAGCCGGACAGAGAGGGCAATAAGGAAGCCCAGCTGGTGCTCCCAGCTCAGTGGCCGTATCCTGGCCCACCAAAGATGTTTTGGAATTACCTTTCTCACATAGTCCAGCATGAGTGGTTTGTCGTATTAAAAAAGTTCGTATTTCAAATTTTATCTTTACTTATCTATGCAATCTATAGGTTCAGAAATTATAGTCTTAGAAAGTCTGTTCACATTATGTGTTGGACAGGAGTCCCTTGAACCCTCTCCTGTGCCCATAATGCATGAACCGTAGCTTCCCTTTTCAATAAGACATGGCACTGTTTGGCTTTTGAGAGCTTAGACAACAGCACTAGGATTCCATTAGCATGGATGGCTGCCTGAAAGCCAATAATTGTGACGTCTCCTTGATTTGCTGGCCTGAGCAGCTGACAGAGTGGTCAGTCCATGGACTTTGTCAGGTAAACAGCCCATTTTCTTCCATTAGCATGCTGTGCGCCAGGGTTGCAGAGATGAACTCCAACTTTTCTGAATGATTGTTGGAAATAACAGCATTATACCTGCTCTTTCAGTTACATCAAATGTGTGGAAAGTTCTTATACCTTAAGAATAGATGAGGTTTTGGATTTGGTACTGTGTGCGAAATGCTTCCATGTGCATTTTCTTCATTTATTTCTTCTACCCAAGCAGCAATACTAGCTACTGTTACAGAATGGACACAGGGCTAGAGGAGCTAGGCATGACAACTGTTACAGTATGTATTTAGATAACATCCATATTATGGAAAGATTCATAAAGGAAGACAGAAAATGACTGTTCTGAAGCATTTGCCAGCCTAAGAACAAAACCAACATAAGTAAATAGGAGAACAGATTATAGAGGGTAAACATCCAATATACTGCATTCCTCTGCCACTGACTATTTGGATTTTTCAAAAGGGATACTGAGGAAGGATTTAATCAATGGGAAGATATTCAGTGAGAATGTCTCATGCAAGTTTCAGTACAGAAGATGTCAGAAGTGGATATGAAGGCCAACATATACCTGTTCACTTTCTCCTAAACGCTTCGTCTTTCCTCTTTCTACTCCACCCTCCAATCTCTGCCCTTATATCCCACCTCTGCCTCCTACTGATGTTCCTTTCTCCTCCTCATAAAAACTATGTGGAAGTTTAACCAGCCTAGAACTACTTCTAAAAAGTATCAAAGTCATTTGTGGTCTTTGGGATCATCTTCAAGAAGTGGGATTGAGACAAGCAAAATTCAGCATCTTGGATATATGCAATTTTCACAGCTACTGTTGCAGTTTAGTATACAGATCTAGTGTTGACACGTTATTTTCTATGACATAATTTTTCTCTAGTTATGGCTCTAACACTACAGCAACAATGATAGGCTTCCATATGAATTCAGCGTATGCTCACTTTCTACGTAAACACTAGCTGAAACCTGAACAAAATACTTACGCTTTAGGATATTTCTTTGCTCTAGCTCTTCAGTTGTAGGCCTCTGGCTAAGCCTCCTGTGAGAACAAAGTAAGTGACTGATTTAAAACCAGATCCAAATAACACATTATGATTTGTAATACAGCTTAAAAGGTGTTTCTCATACGGCCAGGCTGTTCTTTGCCAGCAAAGGTATTCAACAACACAGGTAATTTCCAGACACAGTTATAATAATGTGCATATAACCACAGTACCAAGTGGCCATTTGTTTTAAAAGATGTACCATTGCCACTTGAACACATAAATAACTGATACTTGCATAATATTACAGAAATTGTACCAGCAAATTTAAATTCCTCATTTACAGGTAGAATTTTATGGAAGAGTTCATAAGCCTATGGTGCTATCATAAGCACCATAATTATGATAAGTTGTGCAATCGTAGGATTATTCTCAGATATTTTGAATGGAAACCCTATTATTTAAAAAAAAAAAACCACCACAACATAAGTTGTGCATTCCTCACTGATTTGTATGGTCAATACAATTGGGAGTTTTAATTGAAAGTTAATTTTATTTAGTTACCTATATATAACAACTGCCATTAAAAAACCCCAACTCCCTGAGATATTAATTTTCTGGTTTGTATAGTGGAGAACACAGTCGATATTGTCTCTATGTTTACTAAACAGGCTCACTTGTTCACTTGAGAAAAGGAGCAAGAAAAATTTCAGCAATAAAACTGATTTTGCAGATGTGTTAGATGCCTCTCTGTCCAGCAAACCTCACACAGTTCACTACAGATTAACTTCAGCCTCATGAAACCTGTCTCATTCAAACCATGCTTGGACTTTCAGATTTGGTGGGGAGGACCAACAGGTTTACCCCACGTGACCAGTCCCCACTATAGCAAGCGCCAGGCTGGGACCTGACTCAACCCAGACCAAACTACGGGAACAGGTTTCCCATCAGACCTCGATGCTGCCGGGTGCTGACCACCACGCCTGGAATTTTTATGGAACTGGAGTCAAACTTGGTTGTGATTTCAGGCATGGGCGCAGCCCCGACACGCACAGATGTTGACTCCTGCCACCAAAGCAGAGCTGTGGGGGGAGCATGCCAGCTTACCAGCAGAACCAGCAAAGCCCCTGTGCAAGGAGCTCAGGATGGGGACCAGAGCCCCTTCTGCAGTTCAAGCCCCCGAGGGAGTACCAACAAGCAGGATGTGATCGCTGGAGCTGGGCTTCGGTCAGGAACGCGGTGATAACAACAACATCGCTTTATTAGCAGAAGAAAAATGACCCTTAGGCTCTGCTATGGTTAAGGGATGAAATAAATGACTTAGCCAGCCACCCGATTCATAGAGCAACTCAGCTCATCTTCCAAGTGCTCATACAGGACTGCCATACTCTGTACTGGAACAGTACTGGCTGGACTACCTGGTATCTGGAAATCTCCAACAAACACAGGATATCCTCCAAATCTGCCTGGAAAACATTTCTGAGCACATGAGAAACAAGGACAGGTCTGGGAAAATCCAGACATGTTGTAGTCTATTCTCAGAGACCATGAAAGCCAAAATTAACATTTATGAGGATTTTTTTTAAAAAAGCTTGTAAAAATGCAAGTGAAAATTAGTCTTTTTTATGCAATGTTCTCAAGTCCAGGAAGAGAACATAACATGTATCTGATGCAGTTAAACAGTGTGAGAAACACATGCCTCAGAGGTGAGCACAGTAAAACACTAAACACGGACCTACAAAGTCAGCCTCCTTCCATCTCTTCTGCTGGAACCAGCAGATGAATAATGAAGGAGTTGGAGAGCAGGAGGAGGATGGGGAGGGCCATGAGGGACGAACACGCACAGGCGTGCTCTGCGTGTCACTACTACTCTGCCTGAGATGGGGACATACAAGTGCAAGTCCCTGATAACCAATGCAAGAAAAACTTGAACCACAGCATGAATTATTCTGGAGTCACTCTCATTCTCTTCCTCTTTTTTTAAAAAACCAAACAATCCAAAAACTGAGGAGTTCTCGGATTTGTTTCTTGTAGGACAAAAATTCATTATTGACATTTGAAAGTGTTTTTGAGAAATAAAAATACTGTTTTCCAGGCAGTTGTACCACGAAGATCCTGCACCACAGATTGGGCTGCATTTAAAATGTGAACCCCGTGTTCTTGATTCTCTTTCTCCACCTCCGCCCAGTGAAACCACATTTACCCTGCCACTGATACCTCACTAGCTTTGTTCCAATCTGATGTCTGATTTCCTGCCTCTCCTCTTCAGATGTACGCTGCAAGATGTTTTTGTCTTCTAATTCTTTCTTAGATGGTCTGTTGCCAAGTTTGATAGCAAGAGTATCCCTGCGACGAATTTTACTTGCCAAAGAGTCTGAGGAAAAGAGGAGGGTAGATTTAGTTCATTCATGCTTAGGTTACAGACACAAACCCTGAGTAAGAACTTTAATACGTCCCCAAAGCAGCCTTGTTCCCACATGCAGGAGAGGAATTTTAATTAACATCAAAAGAAAAATTTTTAGCTCAGTTCACAACAATAAAAAGCTGAAAGGTTTGGATGAAAAAGCTACCGGCCAAATTGATGAGTTTTACAACCATCACTTGCCATCCGTGAAGTGATAGGATAAAAATGACAAATCTACACTTAAGTATCTTTGAAGTCTGACACATTAGAGGTTGCTTTATTTATCTACTTAGTATATTTAGCAACCTGCTGCTGTTTTCCTTCAGCCTTAAATGGTTTAGTCATGTTCTCTCATCTTTTCCCTCATTCTTTCAATTTTTTTTTTCAATCTAATACCACTTAGTTCTTGTATAGTGTTTTTCATCTTTAATTTGTAAATTAAAACAAAAAATACAGTTTAGAAAAGTGCTGAGTGCTTGTAAAGTAACCTAGGCAGAAACCCCCAGGCACTGAAGCAATCCATTCATCCATAAAACAGATACAGCAGGGACAAGGGCCATGCAATTTTGCCAGTGTTAGCTTCAGCCAGCTGTGGCAGGAAGAGTGTTTTTCATGGTCTTTAGTCCTCCCCTTGTCTCTTGCAATTCTGACTGAGGGGGCCACGTACGTCCTAGGTTGGCAGGTTTTCATGACATTAGACAGTTTGGTAAGACCACAGGCTCCCAGCTCACTTCTCATAAGACATCATGCTGCTGTCTGAATATGTGAATTTTGGGATGCTACCACTTTCGATCATATTCAAACCAAATGCAGAACTGCAGAAGACTTCAGCTTCTTGAGCTAGCTGGCACTTCACCTTCTGCCGCACCAGTACCCAAGGAAAAATAAGTGTTCATCTTCCCTCACGCCCCTCCAGCATGCAGCACTCTGTGTTCACGCCTTCTTCACTAAGCACAGCGAAGCACCTCCTCCTGAAGGGCTGCGGGCAAGGCTCTCATGCCGTGGTTTGACGGTCATTTTATTCTGACACAAGGCCACCCTACAGGTGGTAGGGGTAGGGCCGCCCTCCTCTCCGCCCCGACAGGTTCTTGCTGCCACCTCCTTTGTTCCAGCAAAGGTGCAACCCTGTGGTGAGCTGGCTCAGGGAACAGATGCTACTGAAAATCAGCCACCACTGCAAACCCAAACGTGAGCGCGGGCCTAAGGGCAAAAGGAACAGCTGGGAGCAGGGATGAGGCAGAGGGTGGGCAGCACAACCCCCTGCAGCAGCAGCAAGGACTTCTGCCAAGTGATACAGCCATGACCCCAGCTGAAATTTCAAAGCTGTAACTTAGAAATTATCCACTGTGATCTGCTCTGTCTGCTAAGGTGCTCCAATGCTTAACAACACCCTGATCAAAGAGGAACAAATGACTTTCAGACGGTGAAGCTGCTGACTGATGGGCCTCCTCTGTTGTCCGCCCCTGCCTGTTACTCCCACAAGAAACTCTGGGACTTCTAGTGAAATTCAGTTGAAAGATACACTGGTGCTTTAACAGTGGAGGTTCATGACATGGGCAAGCCAAATCAATGGTTCGCTGACAACCTAACGTGGAGGCCTTGTTCTATCCTCATGTTCGCCTGAACCTGCTCCTCCCACCTCCACTCCCTTCTGTGCAGTGCTTCATCTGCGCCCGCCATTGCACAGGACCCGGCAGGTTTCTGATCACAATTGTCTGGGAGAAGCGGGACACTCATTTCTCAGTAGTGGAAAAACATTAAATCATCTAAAACCACCCCATGCAGCCATACCCTCCTCTCTTCACTTTGCACTAGCATGCGTCGGGCACGCTTACGTAACGCAGGGTGCAAAAGGTAGCCTGCAACTTCTTGGCGGGAGCCCTGCCAGAGAACCACATCCTGGAACAGAATCACCCATGGTTTGATGTGCTTGCTAGCAGCTCCACCCCAAAGTCTTTGCTCTCCTGAAGGCCACAATTTAATGGAGGCAGCTGCACGAAAGCTCGCTGGGTGTAGATGTCTTTGGGCTACACTCAAGCAGTAAGCTCCAGCTAGCAATCTGGATGCAATCACAGCAGCTTGGTGGGCCCTCTCAGCCAGCCCAGGCCAAACGTGTATTAGATACACCCGAAGGTGGCCACCCTCTCCCAGTACACCCTTCTTGCCAGGAGCTTACTTTCAGCACTTGCATTATCATCATCATCATCATCCTCATCATCATCTGTGTACAGTATCGGTCCGTCAGAGTCCGAGTCACTGCTGTGGCTCTCTCTGCTACTTTCACTCTCAGGAGCAGCACCAGCATCAGAAGCCTCCTCCACCAGTTCAGAGCGTGCCTGGCCAGGTGCCTCCGCTTCTTGGTCTTCTTTGGTAGCCAAGCTGTTAATTCCAAAGCAGGCATGGTGTCACATTAATGCAAGCAGCACAGAATACAAATGGGAGACCAACTGTATAAGCAAGTAAGAAAACAGAAGTTCTGTTACTCAAACTAACTTGTCTCTTTCTAAAAAACGTACATATATACAACATATATAAAGTATGTGTATGCATATACATATCTGTATGTATGTATGTTAGAAAAAAAGATGTGAACAGTCTGGAATGATGTGCTGCAAAGCCCGTATAAAGAAAAATCCAAATTCTTTTTTATTTCTTATGGGATGGGAGCAATAGTACATAAAAGCTACTTAGAAGAGAAAAACAGCTCATAAAATTGGGGGCGAGAGGAGCAAGTCGGAGCGCGGATGGGAGTGCAAAGCTTCCTGTTCTGGAAGCCTAACTCTGTTTACGGTAAATACAGTTTTACTGCTCTTGAGTCCAAAATGTTCATGTCCATCACTGATGAACATGGAAATCAGCACCAGAGTGCTCTCTGTCTTGGGAAAACCATTTTGTAAAGGAAGGGTAGAGCAAGGGGAGAAGCAGCACAGGAACGTAATGCTGGCACAGAGATACCAGCAAGAATTTAAAGGAAAGTCTCTAGGCCACTGGCATCTAAACTAAACTCTCTTGGGTTGTTATAAAAGATACTGGCTCTTGTGACAGGGAAAAGACAGATTAATAAGCTAGTTTCTTTTTTGTTGCCAACTATTTTGCTTAAAAAATGTAATTATGACCTTGTTCTTGACTAGATTTTATAGTATCTACCTGAGACAAGCTATTAGGTAGTAACAGACCAAACAGCTACTAACCGAAGCCTGAACTGTCAATTTCAAGTCTGCAATTAAATTCAGCTTTAACAGCAAGAAATTTAATGATATCCACACAAAAAAAATAAAAACGCCTTGTAATTCAGCACAATTTCTTGTTTGCCTTTATGGAAGAGAAATAAACGTGTTATCAGCTACTAGCTGAACTGCTGACCACAGCTGGTCACATTAAGCCACACAACTATATAGGAGGTAGGTTATGAGCAATGACCTGGTGAAACATGAGGTACTGCAGGTGAATGGCTCAAAGACATTGGCAAAGAATAAATCATGCTGCGATGCAACACTGTCCTGGGTCTCCAAGAAAAGTGCACAAACTGCCACCAGTCAGCAGAAGAAACAGAAGAGATGCCCATACACCTACAGACTCCTTTATGAGAAGAAATGTGGCTTCCTTGGCCGTGAGTCTGACCACTTACCCATGATGGCCATACCATCTTACCTTTCTGTGTCTTCTCCACCAGCATCTGGACCGCTGTCTAGGGTCGTACTGCTCAGGCTCTCGTCTGTGCCACGCTCAGCCTGGAGAAGAGGTTTAGTATCTGATCCGGTGCCAGCTGGCACTGCCGCGCAGCCGTCTGACACATCTTGGGCATCTGAGGAGACAGCGAGCTGACCGGCTGCAGCAGCAAAAGGAGGTGGAAGTGGAGGTGGAGGAGGGGCAGCGGTGGGAGGAGGGGGGACAACAAGCTTGCTCGGTTGGTCTGCGTCCTCCATTTCAGAAATTACTATGGAAGGTTGCTCAGGCTCGTGTTTTTCTGCCTTCGCTTCCAACCTGTTGGCTGTGGCACCTGAGGGGGAAGAAGCAGCCCCATCCGGCGCTGTTCGTGGGGCTGACTGTTTCCCAGGTTTTTTCTTGCCCCTGGGAGTCCCTGATGTGCCCAATTTGCTGGGAGTCTCCTTAGAGGCTTTGGGATGAGATGACGCGGATGAAGGAGATGGCGATGAAGAGGACTTGGAGACTGGTGGTTTTTTTGCATGAGAGGAACTAGCTAGAATAAGAAAAGATCAAGCATTTTAGTCTTACAAACCATCCAACTATATGATTTTTGCACTGTTCTTTCTGCATGGATTGACATGTGCTGATATTTAGAAAATGAAAAAATTACACTTGATACTTCTACAATCCTTCATATATATGCTTGAGATGAGTAAATGTTGCAGTTCAAATTTCACCTTTGAGGTGGGAAAAAATGAAACGATGAATACTTGCCCAAGAACAGTGGAGGGGATCAACCTCAAAAGCGGGTGAGAGTTTGATTCTAGCATTCTGCATTGGCCCATTACAACTTGCCTGGACGTCATCTAGAAAGTCCACTATTTATTTCAAAAGGGTTTAGTACACTATTTTAAAAAATTGCTACCAGACAGATAAAACTGCCTGACCTTTTCTGTTATGTGAATTTTTGGTCTGAGCAGAAGGAGAACACCATGATTTCCCTTATGCTTTTCAATGAACACCTCAGGACCATTCTGGGTATCAGTTAATTACCTTTCACAATGTTATTGCAAGTGGTGTGCTCCCAGCAGCAGCAGAGGACAGCAAAACAAGACGTACTTTCAGGTCCATCCGGGCATGTCCATAAAACAGAGGCAGAAACGACTGGTGTCACTCTGCACATATAATCTCCAGAAGGGAGGCGGCACTGAAGGCCTCCTGTATATACTGGAGGTCTTTGTCTTACCAGTGAACAACTCAGGTGACCTTGAAAATGTAGTGACACAAGGTTTTGACACTAGCTGTACAAGCTGGCCAGTGATATTGCTGTTTAATCCTGCGATACTTACTATATTGAAGCATATGTGTATCAATGTCCAAGTTTGCATGAGATTTTAGCTAGCCTGCATGCCCGTGTGCATTCCAGTCACATTTCTGATTGCTGTGTTGATGCACCCATCACCTGGACTGGGAGATTCAGACTTCTGACTTTCATTTAAAAAGCAGTAAAAATGACAACCATCTTAATGATTGAGTCCTTTTCATCAAAATGCATCCAACTCAAACACTTCTGCTGCAGTAAAAACGCATTCACCTCAAGAGAACAAATGAAAGCATTATAAAGCTGCACAGCAGCCTTGCGGCTAAGCTTACCGAGTAAAACAGAAAGCCGTAATAGAAATCTGCTGAAGGGCCTACTTTACTTAGAAGTAAAGAAAAACAAAACAAAACCAGCAGATTAGGATAGAATCAAAATATAGATACTGGCCATAATAAGCTCACGATATAAAAATAGCTTTCACAGTGCGACTGTTCTCAGTCTCAAAGAAGATGGAAAATAATTCAGAAGACACATTATATTGTTCTCTTCTGTAGCTGAATGTTATGGTTTATAAACATTTAGAGTGCTGTAAGCCTTTCAGTACACCTGGAAAAATCTGCAGAAACTCATGACTTCAGGCAAATCACTGTCCCTCTTTGTGCTGCAAGGTAAGTGTAAAGGGCACAGAACCTACTGATACTGCACTAACCATCCACACCAACTACAAATCACTGACTTAACTTACCAGCAAATCAAAAGGAAGCAAAGAAATGGTACAGGCAGCAGCTTGTAATTGCAGTGGAAATAGATGGTGGCTCCAGCCTGCATATTATTTAGCGGAAACCTTACTGAGTAAGTGGATGGTAGTAAGAAAGGGCTCTGGTTCTGATCCAGCAAAGCACTTAACAGGCTGGAGGTCAACAGAACCAGTTACATGCTTATACTTAAGAACACTAGCACAATACAAATACACAGCCACACTACAATCATTGCTGGGAAAATGTCAAAAGATGTTTCCATTGAAAAAACCCTTACATTATTCTGAGAACCTTTCTGGACCTGCAATCACATACAGCAACTTGAAAGATTTCTCCCAGGGAAAATCCCCCCTATACTTTCACATGGGTCAAAAGTGCTATTGCTGTTGTTGCTTTTGACTGGGCTGGCTGACAATTTTCTGTCATGCCCCTTTTTCAGTAGAAGATTTGAATTTTGTTTAAATGAAAAATTTCATGGCTGTTACTTGCCTTTTGGCACATGTCCATGCTTATGTTTAAGTCCAAGTCCCCCCATACTCCCAACTCTGCTATTTCAGTTTGGAAACGTGCTGCAGTGCCCTCAGGAGAGCTATGGCTCAGCTGTTACTCATATTCCTCTTCTCCTTCATGGGACTGGATCACTGGCTGCATCGTGTGCTCACTTTCACGGGGATCTGATAAATCTGTTGTACTAAATACTGCTCCCGATCAGCTCTATTTGCTGTATTGCTAATACAGCTCTATTAAGTATTGTCCTGCTTCAGCTGAACACAATGTACCTAATGCTGGAAGAAATTACCAGTAGCATATGTACTATTTCATATAAGGGATATAGTGATATATTTTATACCCCTATGGTCTCAAGCATTGCATAAAATTTCAGCAAGGCTACTAAAAGACAAATCTGGGATCTGAACGTATTCTAATTTAGGAACTGAGATACCTGAGAGCTTGTTAGCAACCATTGGTCTAAACATTTATTTATGTGATGGCTTGTTTTATTCCGGAAAGTTCTGCTGTTATAAGGTTCCTCCACCTGGGAAGAACTGAGTTTTCCAGCTGAATGTGAAATACAAGCAGCAAATTCTAGGTTTTCAAAATATTTATTCTTGTAGTTGTCTGATGTAGTAGGGACAGTTAATACCAAGATAATGGATATTTTATGGCAAAGTTATTCTTGTCACTCTAGCAGTCCTGCAATGTTTTCAAACAGTCCTCTTCTGTGTGCTTCAAATACAAAACGTGCCAAAATGTACAAGATATGAAGAGGTATACTTGGAAAGAAAACTGGAGGGACTGAAGGGCTTTGAAAGCATGACAGAGGATTGAAAACACAAGGCTTGTATAAACTGGCCAATGCATATATACAGTCCATTCATCATAATACTGCTTGTGTTCAAATTATAGTTGGATGTTTTCATTTTGGTCATTGTCTAAATCACAATCATTCAAACTCAAGATCAGTACCTTAAGAACAGCTACCTATAATCTTTAATCTAGCATCACTGCTGAATTTCGGTATGGAAGTGTAGTGATAAACACATCTTCTGTGCACCTGATGATGGACATTTTCCATTTCCAGTGCATATTTACAATCACAGCAAGCCATCAACTAGCTCAGGGAAGCCTGGCCATTTCTAACGAGGTTGTTTGATTGGGTTTTTTTCGGCTGAAACAACTGCTACTCAACAGTCTTTAAAGATGTCTTCATGGTTTTATCCTTTACCTCTTTAAGAGGGCTTGTAATCTTGTCAAATTAATCAGAACAGTAGACATTTCCAGCCCAAGGTTACAGCAATACCGAGGCAGTCTTACTTTGGGGCAACTCGTATGTTTTGTTTCACATCACCTGTTTCCCTGCTGGTTCTTCAGCAGTTCTCTGGGTCATTTTGTTGCCAGCATTCACACTTGAACTGGGAATTCAATATAGGCTCTGATGTGCTCAGTGTTGTGTATACGTCCATTAAACAGCAAAATGATTTGTCCGCTGTCTGGGGTTTTTGCAGACAGCAGAACCAGAGCTCAGGGGGAAGCTAGCTAGAAACATCCATGGCATGCTCTTTAGTCATGCTGCTATGTACAAAGGCAGAAGTTATCGTAAGACCAAGCCAAGCACCCCCATGCACATGCACCCGCCGTAACTGGCACTGCCTGTGCAGTACTCACCAGCTTCTCGATTTGCACTGTGGCTTGTTGGCTTGGGTGGTGGGAGAGGAGGCTGCTTAGCAGGAGCCTTTCCCTTTTTTTTAGCATGAGGTGCTTCGTTACTCTTATGGCTGGTGGTGGCCGAAGCAGCAATAGCATTTTTTGGTGGTAGCGGAGCTTTTTTAGATTTAGGCTTAGGCTTGGGTAGTGGTGGCGCATGGGATGCCGGTATTTCTGGGCAGTGATCGATAGTGCTCTCTATGGATAAGAAAGTGAACAGAAGCCAACTGACATAGACATACGCCACAAACATTCAACAGCAAGCCTGACAACAATGACCACTTTTTGCTGCTTGAGCTCTTGGGAATCAGGAGAGATTACTTCATCTTCTGCCTCTTATTGAAGTATTGTCTCAGAAAAAAATTACTGTCCATCTCAATTCAAGTACTTCTCATAGAAGATTTTTGCCTGGCGCTTCTCTCAGTCTCATCTTTTCTAGACTTCCAAGGACCATCCTTAATGTTCAGTATTCCCAACTAGACTGCTGGCTGCAAACTAAACAAGGGAAATGCCATTTACTCCTCTAACAAATTCCCTCGGTTTCTTTCCAGCCCTCTAAGATCAACAGGCTATAAAACTCAGATTCATATGAATCTGAAAGTGAACAGGGCCATTCTCTCAGCCACGGGTTCAAATATGACTATGCAGCTGAAATTTTCCCCTGAAGCAACCCATTCTCCTAAGCTGCAGATTGCTTGCTCATAGCAACTTTATTTTGGGTATCTTCCCCAGGGTATTTCTACTCTTCAGAAAGAGATGAAGCTAAATCAAATAGGATATCATTTGCCATGGGAATGCCCTCCTCTCCTGCAAGCTCTTTGGGAACCGTTACAAGATTGCACTTTTCAAGAATCAGGAGTTCCTTAGTCAACAGGAGTTTGAACTATATCTACATTGTGTCATGCAATAGGAATGGCTCTGTAGAGAAAAAGAGGTAGCACTGAGGACCCGAAGTCCACAATGTGCATTTCTGGAGACTTGACTTTGGACTAGCTTCAGGCTAGTTCTGTAGACTGCATGCCCAGTAGCGGTGGCAGCACAAGTTTCTGAATGCATCCTTTGGCTTAGTTTCATCCAAAAGAAACCTGGCTTGTGTGCTCTGCAAACCAAGGAAGGGTAAGTGGGGATGACCAGGAAACTCACTTCAAAAGTGCATGCCTAATGCCAACTGTAATATTAATGTAGGTGAGCCATGTATAGTCAACATAAAATTTTGCAACATAACCACTATGGTTTTAAGACTAAAGTTCCCAGATGGGAATCTTTATCTATTCAATTACACTAGCTCTGTGCCCATTTGGCCTCAAGATAGTCTTCCCAAACCTTCCAGAAAAAGGATATTATAAAAGTAAAAGCATACCATCAGAACCATATAGGCGTTATTTGCATGTTACTAAAAACTCCAGTGGTTGGGGAAGAAAGGAGCCAAGCAAATATTGCAAGGACTTCTAACAGTCTTTTTTATCACTCGAGAGGAAACCTATTCATTTCTTGCAGTGTGTTGCTATTAGAGCCTCACTCTTACACACATTAAATGGCCGTTCCTAGATCTCCTGTCCATTCCCTGCTCTCTTCCTTCCCATGTAGAAGATTCCCAAGAGATAAGCAGCACCTTTTCATTGTAAGATTAGTAGATGAAAAACAAAGAATGTGTTGAACAACAATGACATTCTTCATCTCTGAAACAAAGACTTTTCCACCTCTAGCTTGAGGCTTGTTAACATGAACCTAATGCATCACCTGCAGTTATTAAAAGCAAGATGCACACATATGTCTCTTCATAAAGTGAAGGAATTAACTGTCCAGTGTCTGCCTCCTGTATTTCCAGCCCATTATAGACTAATACATTTTTGCTAACATATTGCAGGAACGATTGCATAACAACCTTTTACAGCTTTCAAACAGATTCTTTTGAGCACAGGTTCTTGTACTGCCTCTTTGTTTTCCAGAGAAAGAACTTTGGACTGGAGAAAGACTTTGGAAGAAGAAACAAACATACATACTTGTTACATTCTGCTCTCCTCTTTTATAGCAAAAAGCATCTCCTTATGAAATTCTACCTACCTTCATTCAAAGTTGAAAAACTGATTTAGTTCTGAAAAAGCAGGATATTTTAAAATGTTAATTCCATTAATAACAAACATGTCAAGAAAAGATAGGATTTTGTATTTTGAAGCTCTTGAAGGACATGATGATCAGAAAGAATTTTAAGTGTAAACAATTCTTTGATATACCTTTTACTTATGGGTCCAGCATGCTAAAATTTTATTTATTAATAAGAGAGAATTTAAAACTTGGGTACTTACACACCATTACTGTGTTTTCCGGTCATATTAATAGAGAAAATATTAAAAAGAGAACGATAACCTAGTAAAAAGAAATACACATTCACCATATTCTAAAGTAATACAGTGCAATTATTTAGAATCTCAGCCAACCTACATTAAACTTTATAACTGACTAAATGATGTATTACAGAATTTACCTTCTGGTTCAGGAAAAAAAAATACAAGGCTAAAGTTTCACTTAGTTGCAAATAAACACATCTTAGTGGCAACCAACTTAAAATTTTCAAATTTCCTTTAGAAAAATAACTAAAAACTATAAATGAAAACCAGAATTGGAACAGTTCATTCACATCAAAGTTCTTGCTTGCAGACTTCAAGTTGTGATTAAAACTGGCAATTTATATAACATTGATTTTAACTGAAATACCTTGCCATCACTGGGATATCATCTTTATCTAGGACAGCTCTTTCCATACCATTATGTACATCATACCAAAGACTGGCAGACACTTTCTGCACAGCAGCATTCTACCTGCTCAGATAGTTACAGCTCTCATCAAGTCTTGACTGTCCCTTGATCAGGTACATGCCCTTTTCTTGGCCTTGACCAACGAATCTTCTTTTTGCTCATATCCATGAGAAAAGCTGTGGTGAAGGTGATTGTCTTTGACCATATTGTCCCTCTTGGTGTCTTACTACCTTTGCCGTTTTTATCTTTGTTAGCTTCATCTTTTTTATCTCATCAGGTATAAACTTGACTGCCCTCAGTGTCAATCTGATCTTGCCCAAACTATTGTTTCTCATTTGGTCTTGAGATAGATACAGATTTCCAGTTCCTACCTGGCCAGTCCCTTATACCAGCTTTTGCCAGCAACAAGTCAAGTTTTGAAGCAGGTGCTTTTCATTGCTTTTCCTCTGCTGCCCATCAGGCTTTGTAAACATTCACTGACTGTCCTCCCTCAAATTCCCCTCTGTTGTGATGCAAAAGCTGACAAGTTTTAGCCTGCTGGCATTGTGCTTGTTATCCTGGTCTGGTCCCCTCTTGTTTTTCAGTGCCTAACCACAGTGTCCTCTCTTTTACTGCAAGTCCATTGGAACCTTTTTTCTGGTTTTCTGCATTTATGTAAGACACTGCAATAAATTCCTGGTATATACACAAGTACTGTAGTAATACAAATAGCTAACAACAGCAACAGTGGCTTGATCTTGAACAGTGACAGGGATGGTCTGATGTCTATAAATGGCTTGAGATACAATTATGTTGTAATTGTACCTCTGTAACATGATTCTGCTTGAACATGGACCCTTGGTCTTCAAGCCTGCTCCTTCTTTTGCATCTTTTGCCAAAACAAGGAGGCATCTGAATCAGACACATCTGTCTGTTCAAGTCAATCCCCCAGATAATGCAGTATCAGTTGCAATGTATTTTTGTTGCTGTTGTTTTTCTTAATGTAGACATCTGTTCCTCACAAACTGACCTTTTAACAAAAAGCCTCCAAAAGACCATCAGATAGGAATATCTTTTATTCACTGCTGCCTTGATCAAGACATCTGCTGTAAAAGCAATCCACCTATAAATTACCCTTTAAATAGGAAAGCAAAGCAAATGTTAATGTCTCGTTAAGCATTTGGATCAATAATATGTTTATGTTTAGAATAAATTTTCCAAAGGCCAGATTTTCAAGAAAGCTCACTTTGAGACCAGAGTTTCTTGTTCCCAGAAATTGTGATTGGGGCCAGACTCTTAAGAAAGTTATGTTCTCATGTAAACACCTAAATGATAGTCAGGATTACACAGTACTCAGTATACAACAGCTCTTGTGGGGACTCATCAAGTCTCAAAGACTTTCAGAGAGATGCCAGTGTGCCATATGCACTGGAAAATCAGATGCCTTATTTCAGAAGATAAATGTGGGACCTTTTGCAAACTCTGGACCAATATGAAAATCCTGGGCATAGTTTCAGAAGCCATATGTGACTGGGTTTCATAATACAAAGATTTTTTCTTTTGTGACCTTGTAAGGAACTGAACGCCAAAGCTTTTCTACACCAGGATTTTGTCTTACAGTACCGGTATTTTTGTTTCTAGAGCTAGAGCAGTGACATGACGGTAGCTCATGGAAAACAGTAGTGCTGCGGCATAAGCATGCAAAGCACTCATCTCCTGGAAGGCAAGCACAACTCAGTGGAGTAACATTGTGTAAAATGGAAGTTGGAAATAATGTACGACTTGTTGCCTTTTGCAGGATGACTCCCTGCAAAATGAAACTCAGTGAGTTTTGAGAATCATGAGTTTCCTTTCCAGCCTATGCAGAGAGCTATGTTTTGATTAATCAAAACCCAGGAAGCTGTCATTCAGAAACATGGGACACAGGGCAAGAAAAGGTGTCTTTTGTCTCTTTTTTTGACTCATTGACTGTGCTGATGCAGGTGGTCAAATCATACAAATCCTTTCATAATTTTTCGGATTTAACCAGCACCATTTTTTATTCCTGCTAAGGCTACTAAAATTCTGTTCAAGAAAAGACCCATTCTAATTGTTAGAAAGCTTCCTTTAATTTCCAGTCAAAATGTATTTCAAGCCACTGTTTATTCCATCCTACTTGTGCCAGCATTGTCCTTTAGCCGTGCTCTCTCCTGGCTATATACCAACTTGTTGCATTCATCAAATGCACTCAGGCTCTCTCAGGCTCCGTTTTGCTAGGCTGAACAAGAACAGCTGTCTCACAATGCTCTGCACAATGCGCTCTGCAGTTTCAAATTCATCTTTCTTGAAGATGGATGAGCAGATCTGTACATCTGCAGACTTCCAGATCTTACTCTATGATTTCAGCAGCACCATGTGCAAGAGGTCTTGTAACAGAGACCATATAGAAAGCAGGAGAGGAGAGAAAGGCACAGGTGTAACAT